AGGGCTTACCCCAGCTTGACATCCAGGGATGATAGAAGACTAATACTGATATCTTGTTACACAATAAATCTCACTAAATTCTCAACTGACTGAGAATAAGGGGCAGAGCGGCTCAGTGTAACAGTAATAAAAAGCTCAGTGTAAACTACTGCACATGCATTAGTTGTATCTCTTTCAACAGGGACATTTTAAACAGGGACATTTTCTTCTTCAAATATACAACTTTTAATATATGCAAAATGAAAATCAAAATAATAATGAATTACAAAACCAAATTTCAAGAGATTGAAACTATGGATATTTTTGTTTTGGTAAATGTTTCGTAGTATATAATAGACTATAATTTCAAACAACTTATTAACAATAATTTATTATTAGTTTTTAATTATATATATATATATATATATATATATAATATCACTCGAGTACTTGAGCGATAACGGCTTTATATCAGCGGCTGTGATTAGGCCAGAGGCCCGAGTGTCCCGCAGGCAATCACAGCCGATGATATAGAGCAGGTATCACTCTCGTACTCAAGTGATTGCGTTTATACAACAGTTCGACGGCACGAGTGCAAATATATATGAGATAGATAGATAGATAGATAGACAGACAGACAATAGATATACATACACACACACACAAATATAATTATTACCTTTGCAGGCTGTATTTAACAGATATTTATTAGCATATAATAAAATATAATATAATATACTGTATTGTAATATAATATAATATAATATACTTGCTCTTACATTATCTACTTGTCTTACTGCATTACCTTACACTGATGTTACTGCAAGAATGTTTATATTAAGCAACTTTTCCCATTTGCTCTATCACTGGTGGAAATTAGTTATTATTTCAAACATCAGTCAGATGACAGAAATTCTCCACTTCTCAGTTCAAACGATTCAAACCAGTTTCAGCTATTATTTAAAACTCAAACCTGTCTGGTGACGTCTGATTTTGACATCAGACTTGTTCTGAATTTGGCCCCTTTCTTTCAGTTGAAGCTTGCTGATCCACCCAAGCAGTGAATATCCACCCGCATATTTCTACCTCCACAACAATGTCATGCCACTTAATAATAGTAATCTGCACTGTGACATTGTTTTGGTTTCTGAGATAAGAGCAGCCCTAGATACAGGGGTTCTCCTCCGTACAGAGCACGGGTTCACCTAATGCCACCCACTTGGCCCGGCTCCAGAGAAACTCTGGAATTTTCAGCGTCTATCCATTTCTGTCTGTTCGTATCAATATCCTCACTTTACCAAAATATGCTCCATGTTACATCCTAATATTTTAAAAAAAATTTACCCATCAAAGTCTACTTCTGATATTGTACACGTAAACACATGGGAATTCGATGTGATGTCGTGTGAAAACATGTAAGGGATTGGCTTCAATACCATTCATTTAAATATGATAAATATGCTAGTCAAATGGCAGAGAGAATGAAATGTGTGCTGTTGTTATTACAACAAAGTAACAAGCAAACCTTTTTTAGTCTTGAAAATAAGCCAAACAATTTTGACTGACAGCTAAAGGGATAGTTCACTCAAAAATTACATTTCTGTCATTAAGTCACCCTCACGTTGTTACAAACCTGAATGGTATTCTCCAGTGGAATACAAAAGGAATCTTCCTGCTTCTGCTTTCCTTATAAGGACATTTCACTGCTTCTGAATTCTGACAATCTCAAAAAGAAAAGAATGAACAAACAAATAGGTAAATAGATATAGATAGATAGATAGATAGATAGATAGATGAATGAATAAAAGCACCATCAAATTTGTCCAAATGTTTCATTTGTTATATTCCATGTCTTCTGGAGTCATATGGTAATTGATAAGTTAAATACAGAGTTCTGGCATGAAACTCTAGATGGCGCAGTCCCCGCCAAGACCAAATACATTAACATTGTCATGTACATTACCATGCCAATCCCTCCGAGAGTTGTCATGACAGAATTATTTTTAAGTATAATTTAAAAAAAATTAAGTCATTATTCACTGATAATCTTCTCTGAAATCTGTGTTCAGATTCAAAATGTTTATACCAGATTTTTCGCCATTGATTATTGCCTGTAATATGCAAAACTGAGAGCTAAATTATTTATGCAAATAAATTGAATGGATAATGAGATTTGAAAGCTGACAGCCGGATTGGAAGATTTTCAGTGAATGCTGAAATCAACACTGAAACTCACACAAAACTCATATGATTTGAAATATGGATCAGGATTCATATATCATATTTTAACGGCATTGCTCGTCATTTCTGGAGCTTGATTCTCCATTTGTGTTCTACAGGAAAAAAATACAAAAAAGTATGTATGGTATGTATGTATAAATAAATAAATAAATAGCAGCATACTGGGTTTGCCAGTGTAAATAATGACAGAATTTTCATTTTTCTGTGAACAATATCCAGGACCACAGAACCTGTACAGGCCTGTGTCACTCATGTCAAGGATAGCTGTTTAATCTCAGATTAACCTGCTGTCAAGCCACACCTTATTTATTCATTTTGTCAACTTGTCAGAATGCATTATGTAAAATGTTCTTACCCAGTAATTGCCAAAGCACTTGTCTACAGTACATAATTCATTGCCTTTCAACTTCTGCATGTTGATGACTGGTATTACTAGATTACTTGAGAGGAAATTGGAAACATTTATTTGAAGTCTTTGGTCTTGAAAATTCTCCCTGATGCTGGTGGACTGGGGTGAACAGGAGATATGAATCGTCAGCTCCATTAGGTTTCTGAATCTCTACAGGTGGAGGTCAAAGTGGGTGGAGCTGCTGACCCCCAGGTGTGACGGAGAACGAACAAAGCTCTTGATCATGACTCACCTCATCGAACACCTGCCAATCAAACGAAACTGTACTCTCACGCAAGTACGGGTGGAGTTAACTGTTGGATGAAACTTACTCCTGATTATATATTGCACCATAGTGGGCATTAAACACACAGGTTAAACAACCTTGGGTATGAGACCGTTTTCACTTCTGGAGTGGTGAATTTGGTACTGTTATGTTTTTGAAAGAAGTCTCTAATGCTTATGCGGGCTGAATTTATTTGATTAAAAATACAGTAAAATACAGTAATATTATGAAATATTATTGCAATGTAAAATAACTGTTTTCTATGTTAATATATTTTAAAATGTAATTTATTTCTGTGATCAAATGTGAATTTTCAGCATCATTACTCCAGTCTTCAGTGTCACGTGATCCTTCAGAAATCAGTATAATATGCTGATCTGCTGCTCGATAACCATTTCTTATTATTATCAATATTGAAAACAGTTGTGCTGCTTAATATTGTTGAAGAAATATTTTTTTCAGTATCCTTTGATGAATAAAAAGATCAAAAGAAGAGCACTTACTGTTTATGTAAAAGCCTGACACAGTGGCTCATTGTTAGATATTATTATTATTATAAGGAAAATAAATGAATTTACATTAAATAACAATTTCTTGTAATTTCGCGTACACTGTTTGCACACTGTTTATCCAAACAAACTTTCAATCTTAACACTAGATATAAAGAAGAAGAAAAAGGAGCACAAATTTTCCCCTGGGCCCCAGTGAAATTAAATGGAGAACACATGGAGACTTTTGTGTAGGTCTTCTGCTTCACAAATTTTTCTCCTGAGAAAAAAAAAATCAAGTAATCTTAAAGGGGTCATATGATGCTTTTTTAAAGATCATTATTTTGTGTATTTGGTGTAACAGAATATGTTGACATGCTTTAATGTTCAAAAAACACATTATTTTTCAAATACTGTACATTAGTGTAGGTCCTCTATGCCCCGCCTCTCTCAAACGCTTTGAGACTTTAGTCTTTGCAACTTCAGGGATCTTATCTATGCACAATCAGCTTGTAACACTCCAAAGAGAAAGGAAAACTTGAAATCGCATCATATGACCCCTTTAAGTATCTTTTCAGAAAATATCTCAACAATGCCACAGACTATGCTTAAAATAGTCTGCAGTCAAAAGTCTGAGATTTCAAAAGGAAATATTTCTCAAAAAAATTCTCCAAAATGATCTGAGCTTCAAATCATCTGAGCTATTGATTTTATAGCTCTATGCTTTTACTGGATGTCAGCTGTTGTCTCATTTGTGTCCCTTTACATTTTAGGAGAAACATCTGAGACAAAGTATTTATAAAAGAAGCTAGAAGCAAAACTAAGAACTGCATCCTCCACATCCACGTCTCTTGAGCTATGAAAGAAAAGCATTTGAGCAATTTTCCTCTGAGCACTGGTGCCATTGTACTGTTTCCACATGGTATTAAGCTGGAATTCTTTTTCGAGACAAGTGGTTGCATCAAATTCTTGACAATTTATGACTAGTTGACTGACTTCCAAAACACTACCTAAGCCATCTCACATTTCTTCATTCAAACCATTAGCCACTCAACAACAACATTTCAGATCATTTCCCCTGATCTCGTCCCTAAATATTCTTTAAATTATTAAATGATGTGCCACCATTGGAAAGCACTAATGTCCCTGAAAATGAGAATGGTCAAGTTCCAATTCTAATTCCAAATTCTAAATTATATTATATTATACTATTATGTTATATTATATATTAAAAATGTAATTGAACAATTCTTAAATATATTAATTATTTTTACAAATTTGTAATATATAATATAATATATTTAAAATATATTTTTCAAAAACAATGGTAACACTTTACAATAAGTCCCATTACTTACTTAACATTAGTTAATGCATTAAAAATCATTTACAATGAGCAATACATTTGGTACAGTATTTTTTTTTTTTTAATCTTTGTTAATGTTAGTTAATAAAAATACAACTGTTCATTGTTACTTAATGTCAGCTCAGGTCCATTAAATAATATAATTCTTAATCCACTAGTAAATGTTGACATTAACATTAACTAAGATTAAATATTTTTAAAGTATTTTTTATTAATAGTTCATGTTAACGTGTGTGTGTTTCTCAACTTTTTAAATATTTTCATTTCGTATTATTATCCAAAGCTGTTGAAAACTGACTTGCTGCTTATTTCTTTATTTATGTAATATTAGGGGAAAAAAATAATTATATATTAATTATAATTATTATTAAAATCTTCTCCATTTTCATTCAAAAACATACGTCCTGTTGACTCGCTAAGTAATTTGTATGTAAGACAAATGTCTTAAAACAAACATTTTTGTAAAGCATCTAATAAATAAGACTTTGATCATTGGTCAGTGATCAGCAAACAAACGAGATCAGCTTCCTCTGTTGGAATGATTTATAGGTTTTTGTGTGTTTTGTGACAGAGCCGGCATGTTGAGTCTGAAAGATGAAGACAGAAACCTGTAAACAAGCTGATAAGGGTCGGCAGTGTAAGGTGTTGGGTCTGCTTATGAGATACAGGTTTTAAACAGGGTGTCCGGCCAGCATTCAATGAACAAACCATAGCAATTTTCTTGGAAAAAGGGAACTTTTCATAGATTGATGGTTATCTGTATTACTGATGGAAATTTCTCTCCTGATTTCAGATACTCAACACTCTATTGAATGTCATGTCTTTGCTCACACCTCCAAAGACATTCAAGAAACACGTCACATGACCACCACGTTTTGATGAGCCTCATTGTTGTTCTACTTTGTTTTTAGCACACACACCCTCTGTGAAAACACTGCAGCAGATTTGTGAGCAGCAGGGCATCCTCGCCTCTAATGAAGCCCTATTCAGTGATTGGGTGAGGCGTCATTCTTTCCAATAAAGATTATTAGATATAATTCCTGGGAACCACACCTGACCTGACTGTCAACGTTGCAAACGCCTCCATTATCACCTGCTCTGATGGAGAAAATCGGATGCTCCTTTGAGTGTTAGAAAGTCAAGTTTGCTTGAAGCTGATGCTTGACAGTACTGCCTGATGACCTCCTGTATCTGGCCATCTTTGCTACATAAATATACCTATGCAAAACTCCGCACCAGAATGCTAGGGGTTTCTAGAGTGTTCTGTATGGTTGCTAGAGGGTTTCCAAGGGTGTTCTGGGTGCTTTCTAAGGGGCTCTTAAGGTGTTCTAGGTAGTTGCTAGGTGGATGCTTTCTGGCACTAGGGTGTTATGGTTGGTTTCTAAAGGGTTTATATGGTGTTTTGAGTGGTTGCTAGGGTGTTTTCTATGGTGTTCTGGATGGTTGCTGGGGGTTCTTAAAGTGTACAGGGCGGTTTCCTACTGGCACATACTAGGGTGGTATAGGTGGTTGATAGGGGGTTCTTAGTGGTTGCTAGGGTGTTTCTATGGTGTTCTATAGGGGGTTTCTATGGTGTTCTAGGTAGTTGCTAGGGGGTTTCCAGGGTGTTCTGGGTGGTTGCTAGGTAGATGCTTTCTGGGACCTTCTATGGTGTTCTGGGTGGTTGCTGGGGGTTCTTAGGGTGTCCAGGGCGGTTTCCTACTGGCACATACTAGGGTGGTATAGGTGGTTGATAGGGGGTTCTTAGTGGTTGCTAGGGTGTTTCTATGGTGTTCTATAGGGGGTTTCTATGGTGTTCTAGGTAGTTGCTAGGGGGTTTCCAGGGTGTTCTGGGTGGTTGCTAGGTAGATGCTTTCTGGGACCTTCTATGGTGTTCTGGGTGGTTGCTGGGGGTTCTTAGGGTGTCCAGGGCGGTTTCCTACTGGCACATACTAGAGTGTTATAGGTGGTTGCTAGGGTGTTCTTGGTGCTTGCTAGGGTGTTTATATGGTGTCCTAGTTGGTTTCTAGGGGGTTCTTAAGGGGTTCTGGGTTTTTGCTAGGTGGATGCTTTCTAGCACCTTCTGGAGGGTTATATGTGGTTGCTAGGGGGTGTTTTGAGTGGTTGCTATGGTATTTTTATGGTGTTCTGGGTCGTTGCTAGGGGGTTCCTAGGGTGTCTGGGGTGGTTTCTTGTGGTTTATGTTCTTAGTGGTTGCTTGGGGGTTCTATGGTGTTCTGAGTGGATGCTTACTGGCACCCTCTAGGGTGTTATGGTTGGTTATAGAGGGTTTATATGGTCTTCTAGGTGGTTGCTAGGGATATTTTTTGGTGTTCTAGGTGGTTGCTAGGGCATTCCTAGTGTGTCCGGGGTGGTTGCTTACTGGCACCTTCTAGGGTGTTCTGCATGGTTGCTAGGGGTTCTTAGATGGTTTAAGCTGGTTTTTAGCTGCAGTATTATTGGAGACAATGATCACCTATCTTCAAGTAAGCTAACCGGTATACTCTATTTTGTTGGGGGGATAATAAATTGAGCATCAGTCTTCCTTCTCATGAACTCTATTCAACATTTTGTCTGACGTACATCAGTTTTCTGTTAATACCCTCACCAATCGCTTACCAGAGAACAGCATTTCAGATTATAATTGAAATATGCTTTCTCCGCTGTGCTGAGACAAGAGAGCATCCACAAAAGTTAATACTGGACAGAGAATCAGTAGGGCCTAGACAAAGACTGATCCATGAGAGTGGGAGGTACACAGACCAGTGTTCCACTGATGGTTCGAGGACAGCTGATTGAAGAAGTGCAGCAGTTTATCTAAGTTGTGAGCATAGTGGTCACTGATGGAGGGACAGAGGCAGAGTATGGAGCAACTCCCTTTAATATCAAGGCATGCCACCTCATTGTGCCACCTCTACGTCACTGTGTTGGGGGTTTCAAACCTCAGGGAGGTTTGCTTGTGAACAGCTCAGAATCTGAACCCTTCAGAGCAAAGCCTACCGCCAAAATAATGCTCAGGACTTCGACAATAATCATAATCCAACAGTCAGTCAGTGGTTCTGACTGAAATGTAGTTTGAGTGATGAATGGAGCTCAAGCGTAGTTCAGGCAGATCACGGTGTGACAGCCAGCATCAGCTGTCGCTCTGCTGATTGTAACTCTTCACACTACAATTAAATGAGATATATAAGTTCATCCGTACTTACACTTGCCTTAGTCTGTCGCACAGACATGCGCTTGCCCTTCTCCATCCCCAGCTCCTCCTTATGCAGGCGCGATCACTTAGCGTCTTGTCCACAGAAATCATCTATAAGCTAATCATTGCTTAATCTTGTCCAGTCTTATTTACAGACCTGTATCACTTCTACATGGAATTTTATATCTGTTGCATATTAAAAATTATGGTAATTGCATTAGGCTTCGGGGGTTTCAAAGCTCAGTGACCCTTCAGAGCAAAGCCTGTCGCCAAAATAATGTGCAGGACCTCTACAACAATCTTAATCAAATAGAGTGGTCCTGACTGAAATAAGAGTTTGTTAAAATTCCTAACCCAAAGTAGTTTGAACAATAGTAGTAGTGTTGCTTGCATTAGCAAATACTGAGCAAGGGGTGATGATGGACAACATGATGTTTATCTCAACAAAGACGCTATCAGGTAAGATCTTCATAGCCTACATGGAAGACTTCCCCTTTGTAACACATGCTTCATGAACCCTAAGCTATGTCTACGATACTGTTAAAAATATCTTTCTTTGTTCGCTAAGAGAGCTTATGTACAATGAATGCATTAGAGTACAACCAAGCATGAGGAGCGAGCACAAGTTTGTATCATTCTTCAACTTCAGTCAGAAGGAATGGCTACAATTCCAGCTGTGCTGCAGCTTAATACTGATAAAAGATAGTTTACAGCCTGCCCACATTAAACACAGCAGACACATGAGTCTGTGTCTTTATGTTTAAATGTCTGAGGATGGGACTATGTGCTGGTGTGTGGTTGTATGCTCCCCGACTGACCCTCTCAGGGAAGAGCAGTCACAGGATCACACCAGCCCTGACCTTTGACCCCATCTGGAGTGACCAATCATGCCCAGGCAGGGTCAGAGAGCTGGGGGAACACAGACCTGGGTCTCTGACTGTCGACTTTATCATGACTGATTCACGTATTGCTCTAACCAGCAGCCCTGTTACAGGCCATTTAGCAGTGGAACAGACATGGGTATTAATCAGACGCATGACTGATACGGACACTCACCAGGAAGCTTAAGTAGAAGAGATTCCAGTTATTATTATTATTATTTTCTTACCCCACTAGTGGCCTCTTTGAATAATTTTACATTTTATGCTATGACAACTACATTAGCAGATGTTTATCTTTATTTTCCTCAAAAACACTGGCTAATGAACCTTCATGCTTTTCAAGCAAATTCATACGAAATCACTACATAGTAAAACAGTTAAATTTTCAAATGAAACTGCGTTTGGTTATTCAGAATGTTTATTTAGCAAAGAACCAGAGTTGATTTCCCTTGAGTTTATATATTAAAAATCAGTTAATCCGAGTTTAATTTAAGTTTTAAATTAGACATTTAAATTGTTTAACAACAGTGTATAATTATGGCAGATAGTACACTCAGAAGTGAACATTCAGTCTTCATCTGTTCACTCTCATGTCTTTTGAAACCCATATGACTTTCATTCTTCCATGGAACACAAAAGCAGATATGTATACTGAATGTTAGCTCCTCTTTTCCATAACACACACTACTTTTATTGTGTTTGTATGATTCATTTTTGTGCATTTTGTTAGCCCCTGGTCCCTATATTACTGTAACCTCCCATTGTAAGAATGAAGTTCACTTAATTGTATTGCATGTGCATTTGTAGTGCACTTAAAATCTTAAAAGTATATTTTAAAAAAGTACTTGCAGATAATACAATATTAATTAATTAAAAGGCCACTTAAGTGTACTTAAAGAGAGACACTTTAATGATTATTTCTTAACACACTTAAGTACACTTTGAGTACTTAAGTACACTTTTTCTTTAAAGTACATTTAAATCGTTACATCTAATCTTTTGTTGTGCTTTAAATAAGTAACTAGTCGCCTAACATACTAAAGCACATGCAAAGTACTTGATTAAAATTTCTAATATAGTGTGTTATTCAATATTATTTACAAAAGTTAATATATTTTAAATGTACTAAATGGAAACTTCATCATTACAAATGTGTAATTAAAATATATTTAAATATTCAACATATAAGTTTCAATAGAAATTACAAAGTATATTTTAGTTCACCATAAATGCTTGTCAGTACATTCACAAAAGAACAAAAGACACAAGCACAAAAGAATTATGAAATTACATTTAAAAATGTACTTAAATCTTACACTGTAAAAAATGATCGTGATTTTAACGGTAAAAGACTGTACAAATGCCACAGTAAAAACCTGTTAAATGATTAACAGTAAGTTTCCTTACTATATACGGTGAATAACTGTAATAGATCTAACCTTTGTTTTCGAGAAAGTAGCCTCAGAGTCAACACTCATAGACTGTGTCTGAAATCACACCCTAATCCCTCATTCACTATTCCATGAGTTTACTAATAGAGTTCACCTGACAGAGAGAATAAAAACTAATGAGTGAATTCAACCAATGATGAACAGCTGCTGTTAACAAGCAGAATCACTGAAGAAAAGAGCAAGAAATGAAACAACAACTGACTTCAGCCACAGTCTTAAATGAAATCAACTGAAATAAAACAGCAGATGATGATTAAACAACTCCACAAACAGCATTTCCAGCTTCACACATTACTAACCAGTTTGACTTTATTTCTGTCATATATCCACAAAACATTTTTGAGAATTAACAGAGGTGTATATTGTATTGAAAATGTTTTGTTTGACCTCACCATTTTGGCGATCAGTGGTTGCTTTAGTTGGACTCTTGACCCTTGACTCTTTATTGTTAATTTTTTTCTGCTGTTATAACTGTGTTTGTAAAACGCACTTGTTATGACAAGAAAAGCTGAGAGAAATTGCAATGAAGTGGTTTTAATAACTATTAATGATGATGTAACGATAATTTCATGACATGATTCATGATCTCAATTTGTCTAATTATATGGGTAAATAAATTTTTTGTTTATGGTATTAATATGACTCTACAAGATAAGTTGACAAACTATTGTAAAGGAATTTAAAAACATTTCATGCACAAAACCATTAGAGCTACTGTACCTTTTAGACACACACAGACATCAAGAATCAGCACATGAATCTCAACAATGGTGACTATTAATAAAAAAATTTTTAAATCATGCCGCAATGCATGCTGGGTGCCAGTACAAAACTCCCAGCATGCATTGCAGAATTATTATTCTTTTTTTTTATTGTCACCAATGTTGAGATTCATTGGCTGAATGTTGATGTCTGTATGTGTTTAAATTCTGCCATAGTTCAAAACTTTTATTTGTGCATATTGTGCTTAGGAATGTTTCACAATGATTGATTGCAGTAGTATCAGTGGTACAATTCAAGAGTATTAGTAATATTTCACACACACACTTAATAAGAGATTAAACATTAGGTTAGATCAGTGAATCAGACTAGTTCATGAGGGTCTTGACATCACAAACACCAGTTTTATCTAATCGTAGATAATTTTGTTTTTTCTTGCTATAAAAACTGTGTTAAATAAAGACAGCTAACTAAATCAATCAAAGAAAAACTATTTTTAAAAAGTCAAGGTTCAAGAGCCCAACTAAAGCAAACACTGATCGCCATTATGGTGACTTCAAAGTAGTCACTTAATTATCTCATTAACTTCACCACTGCTTCAGTGATACTTCAGCTCTCTGTAGTGTGGACACATATAAGTGCTCTTTAAAACTGAGGATTTTTCTGTGGAATTAAAGGGGTTAAATGTGTGAGATGAAAAAAACACACTGTGAACATATTAACATTGTATCAGTTAATGAAATACGGTTTTTCACTGTAAATTTAAATAGTTCTGTAAAACTTAAAATGTTGCTACCGTATTTTTCACAGTAAAGTTCTGGCAACCACAGCTTGCCGGTATTTTACCGTAAATGTAACTAACTTTTTTTACAGTGTACTTAAGTGAATCAAAAAAGTGCTCTTAAGTTCAACTAATCGCATTTAATATAAATTTGCACTATACATTTTGAATTTAATTGTAAATAATATCCAATTAAGCATCCAAAAAACATTTCACACTTAGTCTAATGGTATTTTTACATTACATTGTCATTGGTAAGTAAACATAATGAAAAACATGGATTTAATAAGTAATTATAACCTGGAGCAATTGCCACATTGTTATTTTTAATATAAATATAAAAAATACTAATTTTATATTTACTTGCCATATGTGTAATATGTACAGTGTAACCAGTATACTGGACATCAAATAAATCTGCCATTTCTTTTACATATTTTATATAAATAGCATTTTCTAATGGCAAATGTACAAAGACTTTTCAGATTAAAATATTTATTCATTTGAAGAAAAGAAAAAATATTTAAAGCAAATACTGTATGTTCAATGCATTGCGGCATTCAGAAGTTGACCTGCCAGTTATTGCCAAGCACCATGAAAATCTATTTTCTATTGCTAAGCTGTATTCTGCATGTGGAGATTGATGTCATCAGATTAGACAAGCTGTCATTACCCTTCTCACACCTGTTGTTCAAAGTGGGATATGTGCTTTTGAAAATAATGAGCACTCAAACTACTCCCTGAATGTCTTTCACTCCACCCTTTTCTCTGTATATAGATGTACGTAAGCCAAAATGCTTTATTGATGAGCACACTTAAATGCTGATCTTGCCCAACCAACCAACACACACACACAAAGAATGATAACAGAGAAGCCCAAGTCACATGAGAACTCTCATTGTCTTGTAAACTGATTGAAGGAGCGTCGTCCTCAAACATGTCGTCAAACTGGCTCTTCAAAATACAGAGTCAGATCAGTGATTTATTAGACGCTATTCCGAAGTGGATACAAGTCAGAGGCAATATGAGACTGCAATACTGTCTGGATTGTATAAAATAGCAGAGTGGGGCAAGCTGTACCACTTTTTACTTAAAGCTGTTCAAGGCAAGGAGAAAAGAGATAAATTTAATACTTATAATAATTTATAAGGATGCCTGCTTTTGAAAATTAAAAACAAGGGGCCGAAGAAATATGACTTACAAAGTGACACAGCTTGCCCTACATTCAGCGTAAGGTGTAAATTCAAGTTGTTGCATGGGCAATATGTGAATGGTTCAATTATTTCAAATAAAAATATTAACATAAAAGACTGGGTTAAAAACATCAATTAATGCACAATCCCATTTCAAAGTTTTATTCTTGTTTGTTTGTTTTTCATATCCATAAACCAGCTATGAAAAGGTTTAAAGCATATGAAATTGCATATGATGCAATTTCAATTTTTCCTTTCTCTTTGGAGTGTTACAAGCTCTTGGTGCATAAAGAAGATCTGTAAAGTTGCAAAGACTAAAGTCTCAAATCCAAAGAGATTGTCTTTATAAAATTTAAGATTCAACCACGCCTACCTAAAACGGCTCGTTCTAACACGCCCCACATGTCTACCTCACTATGTGGGAAGATTTACATAACGCCGCCCAAATGTTCACGCAAAAAAAGAAGGCGTAACTTTTATTCTCGCTGTAGTATTGTTGCCGCCGCCGCCATGTCGTGAAGGCGCTGTGTGTTTCGTTGTGAAAGCGAAACTACTTTCAAAAGACTTTTTAGCAGCATCATATGACCCCTTTAAGAATTTTTGAATGTATCAAAACTATGAATGTATCAAATGTATTTTTAAAATTGTAATATTATTTCCTGCATTTGAAGGCAAATCTCTATTAGTAAAGAGAGCCACTGGCACAACTTAGGCCAAAACATCTGGCACATTTTATCCCACAGCAACCATTTTTTACATTCGTAATGGCAATTTTTATAATCACCTTATTAAAATTACCCAATTTAATCAATCAAAATATTTTAAACTGTTGACAATAAGACTGTTTAATAATGTTTAAAAACAATAGACTGTTTCAAAATTTATCTTAATGTATCTTAATTATAGATGTAGAAAAAAAAAAAAAGAAGCTTATAAACAAAACTTGGTTCTCACGAGACTATTCTCACCGGAGCTTTGGAACTTTGTACGCGCAGGTCGCACATGCGCATTTTTTGCAGTAATCAGATGTTCCACAAGGTGGCAACACGGTCCCGGGCCGTTGTTTCACAGTGAAAAACGAAACTAAAGAGACGGAACAACAACAACAAAATAGCGGAGACTGCAACAACAACAGATGGCTGCATTGACAAGCGCTTGTGAGAGAGAGGGTATGAGGTTTAAAAGAGTTCAAAAATATTTGTTATCGGCCATAACTTATGGGGAAAAATAGAGCAGACACTAGACATGGATGAAGCTTTCAAGAGCGCATGTGTCGACCGCCCGCGCGTTCATGCACATCACATAGATTATACTTTGAAAGGCTTTGAAAGGTTTACACATACATAAACGAAGTATAAGTAGCTACGCCTACGTCCTACGTCATCCGTGAACGCACGTACATTTAGCAGAAGCTAGAGATTACTGTTTATTAATTTTTAAATGGATATTTTTCTTACACAAACGCATCAATTCGCTCCAGGAGACCTTTATTCACCCCCCGGAGCCATGTGGGACACTTTTTATGATGGATAGATGTGCTTTATTGGACTTCTATTGGACTATTGAAAAATAATACAAATTCACTGCCATTATTATAAAGCTTGGAAGAGCCAGGACATGTGGACATGTGGACAGGTTTGTGATATAACTCCGATTGTATTCGTCTGAAAGAAGAAAGTCATTACACCTAGGATGCCTTGAGGGTGAGTAAATCATGGGGTAATTAAAATTTTTTGGGTGAACTATCCCTTAAATCTAAACGCCTCTGATCGACGCGTTTTTAGCGCTGACTAATCTGAGTGCCTCTGATTGGTCAATGCATTCCTAAGTTCAACAGAAACGCGTGTGACTGGTTATAAGGCTTAACGCTGCAAAAAACAACAACAAAAAAATACAACAACAACAGGCTCGTAAAAAGCAATCTGATGCAGTGTGAGCGAATCTAAATGTAATTCCGCTAATTGATACTTTTCATTCATTTGCACATTTCATTGTTATCGCAACAGCCGTAATACATTGTTTAATTGTGCAGGGGCAATTCTAGCTCTTAAGATTGAGCACACAGTGTGGTCGCAAGACCATTATGACCTGCATTGAGGCTTGGCAAAACAAACAGAATCTCCTCCGCTGCAGTGATGAGCACGTTCAACTCCTCCACAAAGAGAGCCATTGTCAGCGCTGCAATATGCCGTGACAAATTTGCCCAAACTGATAAGACAATGCTCAACAGCACATCCTCATGATTTGCAGTTAGTCGGCCACAGAAACAAAGAAGCTAAGGCTCTATTACAGTCCTGTCTCAGCTGAAACCATAACGGTTTCTCTGAGTATCATGGTGGAGTCAGATCTTAACTTTAGACTTAAGATAGGATGTTACTGTAATGCGGCCTTACACAAGACTAAACCCTCAGAAAAGATGTACAGATGACTCATGATTTTGGATGGTTGGAGAGTAATATGTGTCTCCAGCATGTATTTGTTCTGTGAGGGAATGAACATTCACTTAAGACCTGGACCCTTGCTTAATCTGATGTAGGATAAGCGTGTGCAGATGAAGTGATTGGGAGGGTTATGAGGACATTTCAGCACAGGATGATGGAGGACTATCTTTTTATACCTCCCAGATAAACAGCCATCTCAGACAAGAGCAAACAAAAACACCAAACAAGGCCCAAGCGGTGTGTGGGGAGTGTGTACGTGTCCTCAGACATGTGTCACAACTGGAGAACAGAGGACGTTGTTTTCCTTGCAGGACTGATCAAGAACTGCTGCTGGAGAGATGCAGCCAAACTGACTGAGAGTTTCAGTCCATCATGACCTCTCAGGCTTTCATCAGGTGACTAAGAGCAAACGACAGTGTATTAATTGGCCAATGCCTTTGCAAAAATATTTTTGCATATTTATTTCTTATTCAAGTCTGTATGGCCTAAAGTATCTAAAGACACAGATACATAACTTTATGCCACATCATAATAAAGTTAAAAGCATATTTATCTCATTTGATTGTTTTATTACTTTATAAGTGAACTTTATGGAAGCCTGTTAAAAGGTATAAGATATAAAGATATAAAGTCAAACTGTGAGAAAAAAAGTCACAAAATCACAATTCCAAGACATAAAGTCAAATAATGAGAAATAATGTCATATTTTCTTTTTATTTTGAATACTGGACAAAATGTATAGCAAAAATAAATAAATAATAATAAATAAATATTTTAGCTTGTTTTCTCATTTTTGTTTACTCTAAGTTAAAGTACTAAAATAACAAAAACTAAATAAACTACAAAATAATAAAAACAATATAGACATTTTTAAAAATAATTACAAAAAATAATAAAAATGACAAAATTCACAACAAAATTACTAAAACTTAAACAAAATTTTAAATGACAGAAACAAACAAAACAACTAAAACTATATTATTACTATTGATGATAATAAACCGAGCAATGTCTTCACTCTTATGTGAAACAGGATTTATACGGTTATCCTTATTTGACTTTCATAGTCAAAAAACCGTCCCTGTTGTAATAGAAGGCATATACTCTGGACAACAGCGCCCTCTGCAGACAGAGAGGTCCCTCAATGGACGCCTCAGCAACACACATCATGTTTATTAATTGACAGTATCTATACCTCAGAACAGTATCTATACCTCAAATGCCCAATTACACCAATGTCTATTTTCTATTGCAGTGGTCAGATGTTTATATATATATATATATATATATATGTGTATGTATGTATATTTTACATCTAGCCTAGTTCTAATCAAACCCAACTTAAATTACAATAAATTTAACTGGATATTTAAATTAGAATAATTTAGCACATTGGAGTTCTGTCCTACAAATAAAAATTTCAACCATCATATTTTTCTAACAGCTGTTAGATAAATTGAACACAATAAACCCACACTGACAAACATTCAGGTAAGAGTCAACTACATAATGAAGGAAGAATTTAACTGAGTTTTTACTGTCTTTTCAGAATAGGTTGACTCTTATTTGAAAGACTAAGTTATTCAAAAATGTTTTATAATATTTGTCCCTTTTGACATTTTGTTTGATGAATTTTCATTCATACTTGTTCTTTTTACATTTATTTAAACAGAATGTTTAAAAAAAACATTCGGTTTAAACAATAGGCTATTTATTTATTTACATTAGGTAGTATTTCAAAACAGATATTTTTGATAACAACAATAAAAAGCAGGTTCATATGGTTTTGATTGTTTAACCGTCTTTTTTATTATAGAAATCGAATAAGATAATGTTAATTAAAAATAGAAAAAGTGAAAACATTTTGCATATTTAAATCTTTCTGAATTGAATTTTTCTTGATTGTTTATTAACAGGACATACAACGAGACTCACAATCACTTCAGCCGAATATGCGTTCATGATATGGCTGCACGATTATGACAAAAATCATAATCGTCGATTATTCCCTTGAAATTTTAATTGCGATTATTGATTACGATGATCACAATTTACATTGAATGATGTTTATTCCATTGTTTGATGCAACTGCATGCCGTATTTTTATATGAAAATAAACAAGCTGAAAACAATAACTGAAAAACTTTTAGTGCTTTAGTATTAAGCCTCAAATGTCAACTATACATCGGATTGGTTTCTTCTTTAAATTATAAAAAAGTAAAAATATGAATGGTATTATAATGTACTAAAACTAAAATAATGGGAAAAAACCCTTAAGATAACAAGTAGAAAGAAAAAAACACATCTTAAGCAGGCAGAATAACATGAGTGGACTTTGAACGATTAATTGTCGCTTTGAACGATTACGCAATTGTGGCATGCATAATTGTAATCGCGATTAGAAATTCGATTAATTGTGCAGCTCTAATTCACGACAAACATTCATACAAGGTCACAAACTTACATACCAAATAAGACACACATTTGATCATTGTGCATTTTATTTCAGCTCCAGTGTTTCAAACTGTAGCAGCATTTCCACAAATCAGCTTTAGGGTCTACATTTTACATTTTCATTGCAGTAAAACGAGAAAAAAAGAACAACTTGTGTACACTAGATGGCACTATTTTTAATATCAAAACCCTCCCACTTCTTCTACAATGTGCGCACGGAGCGGCCAAGACATGAATTGGTTCATGATGCATATTTAGAGGACTAACACTGCAGCACTTCACTGCAATGTGGCAAATATCAGGATAAGACATTGATAAATCTGTTTTATGTTTTCTCAAAACATGGTACGTAGTGATGATCAGACAACATCAACATACACAGAACGAACGGAATGTTGTTAATAATACTGGACCCGAATGCAAAACCTTTAAAATGAGAAAATTGACATACAATTTAAAATGGTTTCAAATACAATGTGTATTTTAAAACGGCTCGTTTTGCAGATCAATTACAGATAGGAAGCATTTAAAAATGCTGGACCCTGAAGAAGCAAACCCATGGGGTTTCCACCCCAGGACAGGGATCCAAAGGGTAACGGAAATTTGCCCTTGATCAGTCAAATAAAATAAAAATCTGCTTTGTGCAGCCCCTCATGATAAATATCACCACATCCATCATCTCAGTTGTAATGACCCAACTACGCATCCTAAAACAGGGAAACCTAAACCATTGCCATACAAATCTCAACATGTCAAACGCTAACGTCATCGTTCCCCGATTTGAAAGGCATGTGTAAGTTTAGTGATATATAAAGCTATACTGTAATGATAGTGAGAGAAGACGTCCAATTCTTTGGTTCCTAGACGCTAGTCGAAAAACTGGTCTGGAAACACACAGCAAATCAAGTACTAAACCAATAAGCATTTAATCAGAAGGCAAACAAACAAAAATCTCATTGGACCGGCATTAGGAACATCCAGCCCTTATGAGATGAAATAAACAGAAGGCCGAGGACAAAAGTCCAAGGGAACAGGAAGTGAGAGAGGACACAGGAAAGGCACAGACCAAACAGAACACAGCTACAGCTGAACCGGTCAGCTCAGTGTAAAACCAGAAACCCTCTCACACCCCGTCCCGTCCTATGCATAGATTGCAAAGATGCAGTTTGAACACTGGCAAACGGCTGATGAACGCCTGAAGAGGCAAATGAAACACTGGCGCTGTGATATCGAAGGCTGCAGGATGCTTTTGGTGTGCGTTTCATCTGTTGGTCCACTAACAGGACGTCCTGCACACAATACATGCGTATCATCTCAATCAAGAGCTAAAAGTCCGATAAAATAGAATTCAAATGATTGTCAAAACAAACAACTCTTACGAATATACTATACACTATTTACAAATCCATTCCTCTACTCTCTTGATTATTGTGCGTGATTCCAGTGCAAATTCAACACTGACCTTAAGAGCATGTGCCGTATTTCTTGTTTGTAAAACTATAAAACGGACATTTTGGGCCTCATTCAAGAAATATGAGGAGAGAATTGTTTGTATAAAGCCTTAGGAACATTGATACTTTGGACTGAATGTCAGTTTCAATGTTTAGTTCACCCAAAAAAGGATGGATTTACTCACCCAAACCCATAAGAGAGTAAAGATCCACACAACTAAATTCAAGCTTCAAGAAGTTCATAAAGACATAACAGTAAATCCATATGAATCGAGCGGTTTGATTCCAATTCTTCTGATCAAATATGGTAAACAGAAGCTTAACTATACTTGGTTGACATGAAAACAAATCTTTGTGTGTGTGTGTGTGAGTGTGTGAGAGAGAGAGAGAGAGAGTGTGTGTGTGTGTGTGTGTGTGTGTGTGTGTGTGCGCCAAGCAAGTACATTTGAGCTTCTGTTTACCATGTTTGTTGCACTCGATGTATGTTCTATTTGTGAATAAAAGCCTAAATTAAATCTGTTCGTTATATAAAGCATTTGTGTCTCTTCAGAAGACTTGGATTAAACCGACAGATTGATGGATGTGAATTACTTTTATGATGTCTTTATGAACTTTTTGAAGCTTGAACATATTGGTTATGTGGACTTTCAATGGATGGGCAAAAATTATGAGAATATTAAAATATCTTAATTTGTGTTTCGTGGAAGAACAAAAGTGATATCAGATTGGGACCACATAAAAGTCAGCAAATTACTCGATAAGTTTAATTTTTTTTAGTTAACTATTGATTTAAATAAAGCTTCAAATTACAGAATTCATTCTTGTCAATCATTTGGACAAAACTGAAAAGCCATCTTTTTGGGGGATTTCTGATGTCTCCCACAGCCTTGTTTTCATTCATAACTAATGAAATATGCCATCTACTCTGACTAAGGTCTATTTCTGGAAAACAAGGCAAGCTTTATTCTGAATGGGCGACTGAATCTATAGATTCACAGAGAGGCAGAACACAAAGGATGAGTCAGCTGCATATTCACAAACAGCTCAGAAACTGAATAAATCTGCTCCCAGACTGAAATAGATTGTCACAGCTATGAAACCTTCTGTCTACTTCATTAAGGAATAAGGATTTCTCAGGGTTTTAACAAGCAGGACAACTTCTAAAGCTGCAAAACCCACTGCATAGATCACGTCTCATAATTATATCACAGGCTTGACTGGTAATATATATCATCGTTGACAATTATGTTCTAAAACAATAAAAGAAAAGTTATCACACAAAAAAACTCATTCATTTCAGCTTTCAACTTCCTCTGCTAAAGTGAACATTTTGAGCACATTAACAGAGGAATACATACATTATGAATTTATAAATCATAAGTGCTTTAGTGTGATGAAATCAGGCAATTTCATTAAATTAGTATCCAGTTCTTTGGAAATCAAATTTCAATAGTAGACTAGTCCATCTAAAAAATTGTGAAATGTAAAATATTTGGATAAACTGAATGCATGAAAACTGAGTTTTCATGGCGCAAGTAATCTAGTTTAGAACTTCTGTCAGGGTTTATGAAATTTAATCGAACGTGAATATAAAAAAAGAGGCTGAGTTTGTTCATTGTTTTATAAATTATAGAGGCCAAAACCTCTGAAAACTGTTTCCTATTCCAGTACTTCTATACAGTACTTCCAGTACTGACTAAGATTAATATGCATCAATATTTTCTTAAAAAGATACACAAAAAAAGACAAAAAAAAAAAAAAAAAAAAAAACCAAAAAAAAAAAAAAAAGGAGTGTGTCCAAATTTGAATAGAAAATGCAGAGCTTAAAGCTCAGGCAGCTTTCATAGATGATTAGGCAATAATAATAAAAAAATAGCAATAATAATAAAAATCAGTCTGATTATTGCGCAACAGAATTCAGGAATGTCTTAAATTATATTTTTTAAAAATAATAATAAAAAATAAAATAGTAAAGTAATAAAAGCAAACTCTTCTGAACCCCTAAAATATTAAAAAGTCCAGAAAAGCCAAAAAAAAAAAAAAAAAAAAAAAAAAAAAAAAAAAAAAAAAAAAAAAAAAAAAAAAAAAAAAAAAAAAAAAAAAAAAAAAAAAAAAAAAAAAAAAAAAAAAAAAAAAAAAAAAAAAAAAAAGTTCTTCCTCACAGGTTTGTGTCATTGAGCAGATGGTGTGTGTGTGTGTGCATATATAAAAATAGATGTGCTCCATCATGCTCAATCATAAATATGTTATGTAAGTGAGAATACAAACAAAACATCTACACATCTTTACCTTTCTGTTTCCATCATGTTTATAAGTAAGTTCTGTCGTGTGCAGCGTCCATACATCCTTGTAACAACATTAAACTCTTCCAATAAATTAATACGTTAGCAACAAACAAAGAAGATGCTGGAGTGTCTACTGCATAAGAAATGAGCATCTACATTCCCCTTTGAGTCAAAGGCATCTTCCAGCGTCTGTTGATCCTCACGCTCACTCTTTGGATGGGCTGAACGGATTTAGTGCTAATGGGTCTCATGTAGGGCTGGCCTTGTGAGCGTCTCTCCTCAGTTCCTGGATGTGCAGTTCCTGTTGGGTCAGAAAGTATTTGAAGAACTCATACACGGACCAGGAGATGGCTGTAGACGGCATCTGATAAATCACCCGCGCTCTGACACCTTTAAAAAACGCCGGCATGCCGCCCAGCCGGTACACTGTCCTGAGTGCATTCACCATGCCAGAGAGCTGTCCGCTAACGTGTGCGGAGCTGAGCGCCACGTTCTCCTGCGTGTTTAGCAGCGTCTTGCACACGTCTAGCGGAGTGGTTAGGGCAGCGGACACGGCTCCGGCCGCCGCTCCGGACAGGATGTGTGTCTCGGGCCGGTACTGGCGCTGGGGGTTAAAATGTTCCTGCATGAATTCGTAAGTGATGAAGTGGACGGCCTGGAAGGGGATGTTCATGGTGAGTTGAGTGCTGTAGCTGCGGTAGAAGGCGGCCAGGCCTTCCTTGCGACTGACCGTCAGGATGCAGTCATACAGGCTGCGGTATGGAGAGTTATACATCTGCATCCTCTGCTTCACCACTGAGCGAGAGAGAGTGAAAAAGACTCAATTCACTGAATTAAAACATTCATTGTACTCATCACTCTCATCAAGAATACAAATGGGTGATTCAATGCTAAGTCTAACGAACCACGATTTTTATGAATAATACAAAAAGTGTTATGTGTCACACTTCGCCTGGAGTTTGATTGACAGGCGATCTGACCAATCATTTTGAACTTGAAAAATGGTGTGTATTGACGTCTTTTTTTGCGGTTAAAAAAAGATACCTTCTGATTAGGGCTGCACGATTAATCAAAATTAAATCGCAAAGGCGATAAATCACGATTAGGCAGAAGCTGCGATTGTCCTGTATCTTTCAGTGAAGCACAGTTCTGTGATCAGTAGTAAATCTCCATCCGAAGGCCAGAGGGCGCTCTCGCGCTGAAACTCCAAATAGCCTTGCAGAAGAAACACAGGAAATCCCTATAGCTGTTGCTGAATAAACAGAAGCTTAAACTGCTTTCATTGATTCAATGTGACTAATAAACACACGACTACAACAATATATGGTTTATCGGAGTTTGTCTTATTATAATGTTTATTATAATAAAGTATATAACAATGCAATGCTTAATCGACATAGCCTTTATCACTGCTTCGAATACTATGAAATATGTTGCGTGCATTATTCTGTGTTAGAAGCCACATCATCTCACAGAAGGATTTATTTCAAACACTCGACTGACTTTATGAAGAGAGTTTGGAGTAAAAACATGTTATTAAATGTGGTATTTTCACGTGCTTTCAGGTGGAGCAGTATTTACTACACAGAGCTGTAGTTCACTGACAAGCTACGCGAACAGCTTTCATAATCGCAGAACGTTATATTTGATTTCATAAATCGTCGATTTAAAATCGTCTGCGATTATTATGAACGTGATTTTCCGTAGCTTGTCAGTGAACTACAGCTCTGAAAGCATGCTCCATCTGAAAGCATGTGATGGAGATTTACTACTAATTACAGAACCGGCTTTACTGACAAATACGCATGACAATCACATCCGATTAATTGTGCAGCCCTACTTCTGATGTTCATTCATGTTTATTTCTTGCTATAACTTGTAAAGAGGAAGAGATGATCGGTTCACTTGCCACTTGAACTGAGGCGCTACAGCGATCTGTCATGACCACTGATCTATAATAGAGAATATATATATATATATTCAGTGGTCACGACACATTAAAGAGCCACAAAACGGTATTTATTGTTTGAATTTCTTTAAAATTAAAAAAATTACCAAATTTGAATGCTGAGACTTTGTTTCATACCAAAAATAACCTGCTCTGTCTTGTCTGACGGCGTGTTGTCAGTTTCCTCAATGTAATTTTCACCATGTGAGAACATGATGTGTGGTGTGAGAGCGCCATGGCATGTCGGACGTAGCAACAGTAACTAAGGGGGGGGGATGTTTGCGAAGGGTCAATTCAGCAATTAGGTTTGCATCATATCTGCTAGTATTATACTGAAATCAGTGATTAAGAACCCATATTAGTCAACCATGGTTGGAATGACTCATTTTTGTTGGGCACAACCCGAAAACAAGTTTGCATTTTAGCACGTCCGGTTTAGTTTTTTGAATGGGTTTTCGGTTAAATTTCTGAAATAAGGTATGTTTAACACAAGCTCAGATATTTTCATGTTTTATTCTACGACATAAAATACATCAGTAAGAACCCCTTGTTTTTTGTTTTTTACAGCCTTTACTTGTTGCTAACAACTGTCTAAATGGGACCACAGAGGACATTAAACGTTATCACAGTGAACAGGTCAACTCATCTACTCACTAGTGTAGGGTATCAGACCGAATCAGACAATTTAAGATTTGATAAAGAACAGTTGAAACACGAGGAGCCGAATTCCACAGAGTCATTTTCACAACCTCTCTGTGTTTATAATCACACTCTTGCAACCTATTGTAACTAAAATTTTTGGTGAAAATATTATAGAAATAAAGAAATTATATACAAGATAATCATAATAATAATAATAACTCATTTGATTTTAATGACATATTTCTATTGTCTAGACAAGGGTTTCCAAACTGGGATTCATGAGGGAACTGCAGGAGGTTCGTGAGCTGATGAAAAGCTTCTATTAAGTAAATCAAAAAAAAAAAAAAAAAAAGAAAATCAGCTCACAAAAAGATTGTGAATCCCCAGATAAAATCTAAAATTAATACTGATGAAATGTGAAATTTCTTGGGCGTAGACTGCAACAGTTATCTTGAAAGACCCAAAAACAAACCACTTTACAGTTTACTTGTAACAGTATTAAAAATATAAGATTCATTATTGACTGGTATTGACAGTAGAAGAATACCTTCTGCTGGGTTCATGAAGGCATCGTGGAGAAGAGTGGCAACACTTCCTGCCACACCTGAAGTGGAAAAGAGAAGAAAAATTACGTACATCACCATATCAAGTCACAACATGTGGAAAAAACAGAACAGAAACTCATAAACTCATATGCTACTTTTACAATGTCCTATACAACAGACAAAGGGGCGCTTTTCCATTCATTTTCCTCAAAACGATGGCACAACGGAAACACAACAATGCTGAACCTGCCAAATTTTAAACCCTTGATCTCTTGCTCTTGAGTTCAGAGTCAGAAATCTAGCAATGGACATTCATTAAAGGGATAGTTCACCAAATATGCAAATTTGCTGTTAATTTACTCACCCTTAGGCCATCCAAGATGTAGGTGACATTTTTTCTTCAGCAGAACAGTAAAGAAAGTTTTTAGCAGAAATCAGTTCTTGGTGATTCATAAAATGCAAGTCCACAGCTAGTCACTTTCAGAGTCAAAAAAGCATATCAAGGCAACACAAAATTAATATGCGTGACTCCTTACAATATATTGAGGTCTTATGAAGTGAAACAATCACTCTGTGCTAGAAACTATTACTATTAGAAACTATTTTCAACATCATTACCTGTAATCCTTAGCCTTAGGCAAATGGTCCGGAGTGATGTCCGGTTAGCGAACGAATCGTTCTTTTGAACCAGTTCTTTTTAGCGAACTAGTTGAACCATTTCACCAAATCGGACTGAATCGTTTATTCACTTTATATGCTTTAGACATGTAAAACATCTGTGTTTTACATCACATCACTATTGGGTACTTTGAAAATATAATTGCATATACCTGATGTCATTGCATGATTACATAAACTGGTGAATCAGTTATTTGAACCAGAAGCGAACTCTCTGAAAGAACCAGTTTGCAGAAAAGAATCAGCTTTCCCGTTTGCCTGAGGCTATGAATTACAGGTAATAATGTGTAGCGAATCAGCTCAAAGGGGAAATAGGAATAATTAATCATAACTAGTTATAATTAATTATAAATATTTAGATCCGCTGTAAGTATTTACTTGACCTCTCAGGGTCAACTGTCTGTCAATTCTAAGAACGTTAATTTCCTGGTTAAGGGAAATAACTTTCTTACTGTACAATACTACACAGAGCATGTAGCAAAAATCTGCATGATTAGGGACTGCGGTTATGAGCAAACAATGAACAACCTCAAGTGTGATACAAGTAAGACTTTATTAACTACATAAACACTTAAACTAGTCTAACATACACATACACCCAACACACACACACGCATACAGTTGTTATAGGAAAAGGAGTTAAAACTTAGGCAGTACAAAGAAGAGAAATAAAAATATGAAGCTATGGTATCATTGGATATTCAGCAGATCTACAGCCTCAAGGAAACATCAGATTCTTAGTTCAAACACACCTTTGTAAAAAGATGCAAATGATACCTAATGTATCAATTAATAAAACTAAGTTTGAATACTTGCACGTCTCATCTGTCTGAAAGAGAGGTCTGATGTAATCTGAAGGTGTTGTAAATAATGATCGGTTTCTTGCATTGA